GAGTAAGGATAGCATTAGCATTGTAAGTAAACATTAGCTTTTTTTTCAGTAAGAGGTTTTTATTTAATAGAATTTTTGGACAAAAAAATCACAATATATCGCAATATATCGTATCGTGACCCCTCTGTTATGATATGAAGCGTATCGCCAAATTCTTGCCAATACACAGCCCTATCATTCACAAATGAGTTTTTATCTTTAAAAATCAGGTTATCCAATTAAACAGTTAATCTATAGGAACAAGTGTTCATGTTAACAAGGAACTGTGGAGTGAAGCAGTTATAGGGGTGGGGGGAACACTCCATAAAATATTTTGCAAAAGATCTATTCAAAACTATTAATTTTCCAGACATTTGTGGAGCATTTTACTCAATTCTTGGGATCAATAAAACATGAAATTGTATTTTTTATGAAAGTAGAAGACTGAAAACCAGACTTTAACCTGAACTTTATCAGAGATCAGAACCGAAACTTCCTTTATCTTTATTTTGTTTTTTATTCAAACAGTGAGCAGCAGGAGTTAGTCTTGACTGCATCATATGATAATTTTATCCATCATAAACACCTCATGTAAGCAGGTGGAGGACCCTACAGACAGGGGCGGTCTGAGGCAACAAACTGACCCAGGAGTTTAGTACCTGACTGGTCCACTGAAGGACCGGGCTGGAGGTGGAAACAATAACCATCATCTCAGGGTAATGTACAAAACTGATGGAAAAACATTGTAAGCAACACAGTTTTATGAAATTATTAGTTACTGAGCACCGCTTAGACCCAGTTCACACAACTTTTTTATTTATTTTTTACAGCTAAATGCATTGTTTTAAAAGTTAACAAGCTAGAAAAAAGTACAGCCACCTACCTGACTACCATCCTCCTCCTGGTCGCATCATTCTCCAAACTCCAGCAGAAAGCTGTGGGTTCAGTCAGGATGAGGATGATGCACCAGCAGAAAATAAAACTTCATTTGCTTYTAGTTAACGTTTCTTTACTCTCAATATTTGAGCTCCTCCCTTTCTTTCTTCTCCATTTTTATTCTTCTTCTTCTTTTACTACCTTTTTCTTCTTCTGTGGTCTTTGTTTGTGTTTGGTAAACTAATTGGTGCATTATCGCCACCTACTGGTTTTGAGCCCAACTACACAACTTTATTTCATATTTTCCTGGGATGCCAGCACCGGCCCACCGGGAAAACTCCCGCTACGTCCAAAGGCCAGTCCGTCCTTGCCCACAGAACAAGTTACCATAAATGTCAAGTTGTCTGTAACTTACATGGATTTATCCCCAGGTTTAWGGACAAAAACTTAAATCCCACAGAATAAAAAAAAAAACTGCTTCAAATTATTTTATGTGTCAGGATGTAAAAAAATAAGCAAAATGAAATAACCATCTCCCAACCTGCTCCGTTGCCCTTTCCCCTCTCCCAGCGTTGTATCACATGTGAGTAATTTGGATTTATTTGTAAAAATTATGGATTTTTGAGGGTGAAGATACAATTAAACATCCAAAGGGGACGACATGTATGAGCTACTTACAAAAACTTACAGATTAAATCAACACTGATAAAAAGTGATGAAATTGTTTTTTRCCTTTAGTGACACCCCCTAGTTGGACAGCACCCTTAGTGTTTGCCTATACTGCCTATGCCACTGTGACCAAGGTGATTATAAATGATAAAGTATATGTAAAATAAATAAAACAAATATGAATTCATGGTTTGTTCAACCCTCAGAGCTGTAAACAGGCAGCTGATCCATGATGTGAGGTGAMCCGTGCTCTCAGGGAGGAACAGAGCGTCTCTAAGAAAGAACCGAGTGTCTGAAMGACTCTGTAACACCTCTGCAGGAGCCGGAGGGTCCCGTCCCCACAGGCCTTTATGTCCCAGAGAASAAACACTGATGAGAGACGAGAGGCAGAGGTGAGGGGCTGAGAGCGCAGCYCACCGAGGGGCCACCTGAGCTCAGGGGGCTCGTGCAAAATATTCATCCAGTTCAGTCACGTTCAGCAAAGTGAATTCCTGCGTGTGTTTGGTATTTAGCTCTYAAAGTAGAGAAAACTGAGCCTTTTGGTGACACTGAGCAGGTTTGCAGAGTCAAAATGACCTGACAGAAACACCTGGAAGTCCTCAGTGTGATGCTCAGGAAGTCAGCGGGACGTTTCTGACTGTGTGGTGTTTCATCAGTTTTACACTTCCTGGTGGAAACATGTAGCCTCCTGGTGACGGGTTTCACACTGAGTCAAAGGTTTACTCTGTCAAACTGTTCTGACGGGAACTGGGACCATGTTTGGACTGAATCACGTCCTTTAATCAACTTTACTTCATATAAACTCTTTTTACAGCTCATTTAGGAGATAGATATGGATTTGGTTTGATTTTATTAAATGTATTTTTAAATAAATATTTACCTTTTATTTACAAATATTTTCCTCAGAAATTCTTTAAGATCTTTTCAAAAATTTCAAAACCATTGTTCTGTCTGCGTATTTGCTGACTTTTGTCTTCCAATGCTACCTGTAGCTTTTAGCTAATTTATTGCTACTTTTAGCATTTAGCAGCTATTTTGTCATTCCTTTTGTTCCTTCTTTTTGTCTTAAAGTTCATGTGAAATATAATTTTGTTATAAATGTGAATGCATTTTTGGAAAGACATTGATAAAAAATCACGACGCTGAGCTGAACAGTTGTTGAGATATTTGCATGTAAGCTAACAGGAAGTGATGTCAAAGGTGAACGTCTGCACGTAAACAACGCTGCTACAACAGCTTACAGAGAAGAATCTGATGTGTTTTAGATTAAATTTAATATCAGAGACATGAAGAAGAGTCCGACTGAAAATATGATTTTAATAAACAAAGACCAGGAAGTCCCTTTTCTGATAAAGTTCCCCTTTGATGTCACTTCCTGTTTCACTTTGAGCCAAATTCAAWATAAAACATGCAGTTATGTGACAAAATGTGTCAAATCATGTGTATTATTCCCAGTTTTTTAAATATAAAATGCTTTCTTTGACTTAGTGTAATCGTAGCAGATGTTTGTGYTACTTTAACAACTTTCTTCAGAAAATTTCGTTCAGCTCTGTTTTTCTTCTGCGTCATGGCAGCTTTTTAAAGACTTTTAATGGACTGTTTTGACCTTGTTTGGTCTCAGGAGCTATTTTTAAACCTTGAACCGGAATAAACGGTTTGCATTTGTTGTTGGAATCCGTTCTCTTGGGTTTTATGTCACTTGCATAAACAAACCTTTGACCACTTGCAGTAAAAAAATAAAAAAAGCCCCATTTGTTGTTCATGAATTTAGGAAACTAAGAACCAAATGACAGGAATTTGTAGTTCAGATCATTATTATTAAATGATTGTGGGTGTTTTCTCCATTCTTATAGCTTTTATCTCGACTTCCAAATGAAACTTTTAAGCACGTCGTCTGTTTCTGCCCTCTGAAATCATCTCAAAGCCATCTTTGGACCATAAAGCCTTAAACATTAACAAATATACTGCATTAAAACACAATAAACATAAATAACGTCACAGATTATGTGCTTTTTGTTCACATGAAAGCCTTGTTTGCCTCATTTGAAGAACTGGAGATGACTGTTTTTTTTTTCTGAAGCCAAATTAAAGTTGAAGTTGTTTTTATAAACTGTTCATGTGAAAGCTTCAGTCTGCCAGCGTGAACCGAGTCGCTCTGCATCACGTCAGCAAACAGGGAAACACTGGAGACGGCAGCATCTGGGCTGCCTGTGGCCTAAAGCAACCAGGATAATTAAGTCGGGCTTTGCTTCGTTATCAGGAGTGATGTTTGTTTTATACAGAAAAACACAAGTTATTAAGATTTGTCATCTGTTTCTGAATCCAATAAGTGGACTCGTGGATAATAACAGCAACCCTGGCTGTGATTTATTTAATAAAGATAAGTGCTGACTCATCAGAGTGGCTCGTTAAACTCTCATCCAATTAACTCATAACGAGTTCCCGCCTTTATCACCTGCTGCAAAAAGGTGAAGCTGCAGATATCTGTGTGCACAAGATCTTTACCTAAAACATCACCATTAACASCTGTTTGTCTGTTAGCAAAATATCTTATAATAATAAAGGGATTTTAATGACACTTTCAGATGTTTTTGTACAATTTTAATTAATAATCATAATGTTTTATGTGTCTAAAACCTAGCTGTGACTGAAAGAAACAATAATAAAGTTTAATAATTACAAACAGGATTTTATTGTGTTTTTCTGGAAAATGATGATAATTTTGATTTCTGCTCAAGTTTAAATACAGAGAATAAAAAATATCCATTCTGCAGCACAAATGTTTGTATCAAAGTACGGCACAAAGACTYAATAAATGGAAATAAAATAACTTCATGACAATAAAAGGGAATAAAGCACCAAGAACAAGAGGGGTAAAATTAAAAATTAATACAATAAAACTTTATTTGTAAAGTGTTTTAAAACAACCCTGTTGGCCAAAGTGCTTAATAATTAAAACAATTAACATGATTAAAAACACATAAAACATACACAAAACAATAAACTAAGTGAAATGAGCCAATATCTATCATCATAAAAACAAAAACATTAAAACCAACATCTCAAACTGAGTTAAAAGGAGAAAAAATGTGTTTTAAGAGCTGATTTAAAAACAGGATAAAGAATTAATAAAATATTCCATTTTGAAAATTTCAGAAGCAAAAGAAACATAAAAATAGATTTCTGAAGTCATTTAGTTTGCCTTAACCTGATCAGAGAATAAAACAGTTTATATAAATTAAAAGTTCAGTGTTTTCCTCTGTACTGATTAAAGCCAAGTGATGCATTTCAAATAAAATGTAATTAAAAAGCAATAATAAAATCTTTACTAACAATGAAGGTACTCGTTTTAATGCTCAAAAACTTAAACTCAGTTTGTAAAAGATACTGAAAAATCCTGAGAGGATATTTTGATCCAGTTTAATCACCGTCTCTCATTAACCCTATTTTTGTGGGATGTTTTGTTTTATTGTTACGTACAATGCTTTTATTTGTTAATTATGTAGGTTATGATGTTTTATTGTTATTTTTATTCTTTGTTTTATTGCATTGTATTTTAATTGTACGGTGTCCTMGAGTGCCATGAAAGGGGCCTTCAAATAAAAAGTATTGACTGAACAAAAGAAACTGAAGTCTGGAGTTACTGCTGACATAAATAACACAAATCCAGCTTAGATTACAACAAACACAAATCCAGCTTAGATTACAACAAAGCAAAGCTGAAAACAAACACAGACTTTGTTCTTGTGCTTCTGTTACTCAGTATTTCTTCATTCTTATATTTGGTGTGAAGCAGATTAAAGTCATCAGCTCCTGCAGCTGCAGCCGTTCTTTCATCGCTTTTCTTCCCCGAGTCAGAGGAGGACACACAGGTCCAAACCAGTGGGACGACTTCTATTCAAACCCAAAACTTCTGTTTAAAATAAATATACATTTCTGTCATTTCAGCTTTTCATTTGGCAGTAAGCTGATGATGTTTTCCAGATGTTCAACAGCCTTGAAAACGTGATAAAATGAGCTGCTTCTCTAAAACGTCAGCCAGAAAAAGGAAAGTTTCACTGCATGTGGAAATGTTTAACAGCAGAAAAACAGAAGCAGAACTTTAAATATTTAGTTTTCTTACTAACAGCAGACTGTCGATAGAATGACGTTTAAAGTGTTGTTATTTTTACAGTAAAGATGATTTGCTGAATGTTTTTGTATATTTTAGATGGATTATGTAGAATACTTGTCAACAGGCCTGTTTTTTCTTTTTCTTGCCTTTTTGTTTTGATGTTTTTCTGTGTAACCTGCTCAGACAGAGGCAGTAATGCATACCTACACCATCAGGGAGGCTGGCTTTTGGCGTGCAGCCTAACAAGCATGGCACGGACCACCTATCCACCCTAAAGTAAAAACCAATGTAATAAAACAAAAAAGCCTGTTTTTTTGTAGAAACTGTGGTGTTATATTAAATATTAAAAGCTGATTGAGAAAAGCATTTTAGTTGTAAAAAAATGTAATAAAACTCTGAATGAAATAAGATTTCTGAAGCCAAAACCACAGCTTTTTGTCAGTTTTCTACATTTTGCAGGTTGAAATTTATTTTATTTTATTTGTTTTCCTGGCTGGATTTCATCCTTGATGCACATCAAACACTAGGTTTTAAAACACGCTTGTTTTATTGACAGCTGCAGGAATAAAAAGCGGTTGTGTTTGAATAAAGTCACGAGTCAAATCAGGTGGGAGATACGAGTCCAAGGCCGAGGAGGGAAATCGATGAACGCTTTGGTTTTATGTGATGTTTAAAGAAACAAA